GGGTTTTTGTATTCGACGTCCAAAAAGTACTAAAATGTACTAAATTTGGTACAATTTCGAGGATGAGGATGTATAGAGCTAAAAACTTGAAATTTGGAATGCTAATTAAAGTTGAGAAGTAGCGTGAACTAAATTTGGTACAATTTGAATTTTGCGGGAACTGGTACAGGTGGGATCCTGAAGTTTTGGAGTTAAGATAATTTAGGGGTGTAGGATACAAATGTAAGAAGTTTGGAAACTTGTACTATTGTGTACTAAATGGTACAAAATTTGGATTAGGGTCTACCCATAGAGCTGGAATCTTGAAATTTGTAGTTAGGAGATGTAGAATTATTTTATGTAGGAAGTTTTTAAAAATTCGTACTAATGTGTTTTAAAGGGTACCAAATTTGGTGTAGTGATCGGGCTGGAATCCTGAAATTGGGAAATACGATGCCTATTGGATTTATATTAATCTATACTAAATGTTACTAAATTTGATAAAATTGACATTTGGGTTAATCTATAGAGCTCGAATCATAAAATTTGGAATTAGTTTTAGAAACAAGTACTTCAAGCGTACGAAAGAAAATAAAAAACGTACCAAAATTTGTATAAAGGTAGATTCTTAATGCGACCAGAATTGGCGTGTAGTGCTGAGAAATAGAGGTAGTTTTGGAAATACGTACTATAAGAGAACAAATGAAATGTTAGTACCTTTTATTTTAATTAATATTGGTCAGTATTGGTGTGTAGGGTGATTAGCTCTTATGACTATGCACTTCTCTTTAAAACAATATAATATATTTAGACATGTTTAAATAATTCTTACGATCGCTAACGAAGTATCGGGCATATGCTAGTATATCATAAAATTAAAATGCAGACTGATACTTCTAACAAATTCATTGATATCTGGATCTTGAAAAATATACTCGATTATTTTAAGAAAATCCTATACTCTGCTTTGAATTCTTACACTGGAAGTAGTAAGTTTTCGAAGAATCAGAAACCAATCATATGACTACGGCCTCTTCTTCGATTGTGTGTATATGAATGTTGAACCTTTTCGGCATTATTTTAATGTTATACACTGCGTATCATAACTATAGACGCACCCTTAATTCAACTGGTATGTTAGTTGACAAATAATATGGACCCATTAAGTTATTGTTCACAATAAAGCGATCAAAAACACATATTATTCAACAAAAATAATTAATTTATTCTTTATGGTTTCGCCGAATTCTGCACTTTCAAAATTGCTGGTGTTGCATAACTATAGACGCACTTTTACAAAATTAGAAAAAAATATTTTTTAAAACTTAAATAAAATAAAATAACTTTTATAAATAATGGGTAGGGCCTCCCTTATTTTGAATAATTTCAAAAATTTTATCCATCACACTGTTGTTCAAAATTATTCGCAAGTCTTCATCGATTGACCGCTATTCATCGAAAATCACTTCTTGGAGGTAAAATACCGTTTGGCATTGGAGGTTTTCTGCATAGACACGATGAGTCAAGATTCCACACATGTTCTCGATCGGATTCTGGTCGGAAATTTTAATATTTTTTAATTTTATCCATACTTGAGTACGGCGACTTTTATGAACTGTGCGTTGTCCTGCTGAAAAACGAGTCCTTGATTGTTGCTGCTTTCCGACAACATGGAAATATCAAATATTAAAATTTCCGACCAGAATCCGATCGAGAACATGTGTGGAATCTTGAATCTTTGTTAGTCAAATAATAATAAATTAAAACAAATTAATTTATTGTGTAACCAACTATATATCATGTGCAACAAATACTTTTGCATTTTGAACATCATAACGAATTTTCCTGCCGATGTTGACATTGTCGAGCACATTAACTATTTATTACGCTTTGTTTTTCCTATTTATTATTATTTTTTTATGTTTTCTATTTGATTTTCTTATTTATTTATTAAAAATTTTCGTTTCTTTACAGACACGTATTATTATTACATATACAGACATAAGTTACGGTCACAATTCCTAGTAGTCTCATTTTGTAAATAATTGCAATATATTGCATATAACATTTTAATCTAAATTTGGTAATAATCCCTAAATAAATAAATTTAAATAAATATTTCTGTTTGCTTTATTTTGTATTATATTTCGAATTTACTTTTTGTTATATTTTTAGTTTTTTTTGTTTTTTCTTTAATAAAGTTTTTATTTTATATCAAATACATGTGTCTTTGGTGTTTTAATATTATCAGATGGTGGTATTCTTTATTACCGGTGGATTTATCATATCCCCATATTTCATGGTTCTAATATGCTTGGCTGTCATGGCGAATTCATACATTCAGTTTCATAGCCATTACATATTCGTTTACATATATTCTTTGTAAAGAAGGGGGAAGCTGAAATGTAAAGACATGTAACGCCTAAAAATATGCTTTAAAAGTTGACTGCTTACAACGGTATTTATAATAAAAGGGTAACTCTGGCAATGGCATGTAAATAGCGCCATCTATTGAATCACATGATGGCAAATGACAAAGTCATTTTTGAATTCGCCGCAAATGCTTCAAAAATGACAATGTGTTAAAATATGTTTTTAGCTCATAAATAGAGAACGGTTTGACCGATTCGACTCGAATTTGCTTGAGGTTGTTTGTAATTACAGTGGGAAGATTTTTACGGAAGAAAATTATGAAAAAAGCCTGCAGAAAAGTGGATAAGGAAGCGAATTTTCACAACTTTCGATTTTTTCCAATGTCTTCTCAAAATTTTTTGCAGACTTCTCAAAATTTTTTTAGTGTAAAACTTCCCGCTGCAATTCAAAACCACAGAAGGAAATTTTCAGTCAAATCGGTCAAACCAGTTATCAATTTATGAGTTAATAAATTTTTTCCACTCGAAAAGCCGTTACTGAACAATTCCACGCACATAATCGCATATTACAAAAAAAACTTCGGTTTTACTTCCAATTTTCCTACTTTTCTGTTTAATTTTCTAACAATTTTCTTTCGTATAAACCTTCCCACTGCAATTACAAACGATCTGGAGAAAATTCGAGTCAAATCGGTCAAGCCATTCTCAATTTATGAGCTATTATTGATATTTTAACACATTGTCATTTTTGAAGCATTTGCGGCGAATTCAAAAATGAGTTTGCATTTCCGATCATGTCATTCAATAGATGGCGCTATTTGCATGTCATTGCCAGAGTTACCCTGTTTTGATAAATGTGCTACCCAGTTAACATATTTCAAAGCATAATTTTAGGCGTTATACTTACAGGCGAATTTGCATTTTGATTTTAAAATGAAACAGCAATATATTTTAAGACTTTTTAGGTATTTATTGATAGAAATATTGAATATTTTTCACAGCATAATGACAAAAAATATATTAAAAATTAAGTTTGTATACATTGTTATTGAAAGTAATGTGTGGTAGTCCTCTACATCGTTATGAGTTTCAGGACCTGCAACCAAAAAAGGAGAAATAAAAATTAATTGAAATATATTATATATTTAATATATTTTTTAATATAATGGTCTTTAAAAACAACATTATCTCATGACTGGTAAAATCAAAGATAATTTATATAATAATAAAGTTTATGGGTGGTCTAAAATATATTTTACCGAAATCTACTCCTATTGCAGGTCTTTAAAATAGTGTAGACGAATGGTTGACCTTTCAAAAATTAGAAAAAATTCTTGGCTCATGGGTGGTCTAACGTACAAATACTTAAATAACCAGTAAGGAAAGTAGTAAAGTCGGATATCCAACAAATGAATCCTAACAGACTTCGAATTTTTGAAGGACCTATAAATATCGAAATCTAAACCAATTTCAACTAAACTTGCCACAAGTTATGTTATAATAACTTCAGTACGTAGTGCAAAATTTTGTGCCGATAGGACCATTAACATTAAATCGGACGAAAATATATATGGGATCTATATCTAAATCTTGACCGATTTTAAGCAAACTTACCACTCATCATTCTAGACATAATTCATTACGCTATGCCAAATTTCGTGCAAATCGAATGATATATAGGGACTTTGGTACACCATTGACATTAAATCGAACGAAAATATATATGGGAGCTATATCTAAATGTGGACCGATTTCCATAAAACTTAACCACAACATTCTAGACTTAATTCATTACGCTGTGCCAAATTTCGTGCAAATCGAAGGATATATAGGGACTTTGGTACACCATTTACATTAAATCGGACGAAAATATATATGCGAGCTATATCTAAATCTGGACCGATTTTCAGGAAACTTAACACACATCATTCTAGACAAAATTCATTACGATATGCCAAATTTCGTGCAAATCGAAAGATATATAGGGATTTTGGTACACCATTTACATTAAATCGGACGAAAATATATATGGGAGCTATATCTAAATCTGAACCGATTTTTCCGAATATCAATAGGGTTCGTCCTTGGGCCAAATAAGTGACCTATGCCAAATTTCATCCAATTCGGATCATAAATGCGACCTGCACTTTGTTTACAATTTAACATGGACAGACAGACAAACGGAAGGGCATGCATAAATCGACTTAAAAACTGATTCTATGCATATTCTCAAAAGGAACCATGTGTCTATCTCGTTTCCTTTTGCCTGTTACAAACATATGCACAAAGACATAATACCCTGTACCATAGTGTGGTGAAGGGTATACAATTTTGAACGTAGATTTTTGAACGTGTACAAATCTAAGCTTATTGTTGGCCTCCCAAAATCATTGAACCTTTAAAAATAGGCTTTTTAAAACCTTTAAAAAATATTGGGTTAGGTCTGCTGTTTTGAAAAAATATTTAAACAAATCGAGGATTTCAAAGAACATCAAAAAAATCTAGGCTTATCTTCTATTTTATTTATTTTTTCTGATAATTTTAGTAGATGTTTTCTATATATTATTTTTATGTAATTCCTTCCAAGCGACTTTCTAATAACCCCTGCAATTTTCTTTCTTCCCCCCTCTCTCTTTACAGTTGCTTTAACGCTCAAAATCTCCTTGATGTTTGTAACGTTTCATCTGCCAACGACGCTGGCAGATGATTGGTCACAGTCGTGTGCCTCAAATTGTACCTGCAAATGGACCAATGGCAAAAAATCCGCCATATGCAGTTCGCTGCAGTTGACGACGATACCGACAACGTTGAGCACGGAACTGCAGGTGTTGGTGTTGAACGACAACCACATACCGTATTTGAATCGAGAAGAGTTTACCAATTTAAATCTACTAAATTTGCAACGAATCTATTTGAAGAAATCCGAGGTGCAATATGTCCACAAGGAAACTTTCAAGGATCTTAAGATTTTGGTGGAAATCGATTTATCGGATAATAAAATTGAAATGCTCGACAAGGACACCTTTATGGGAAATGATCGTTTGCGGATATTGTATTTGAATGGCAACCCGCTGAAGAAATTGGTGGCCTATCAATTTCCCATTTTACCACATTTGCGAACGCTGGATTTACACGATTGCCTAATATCGTATATCGATCCGATGGCATTGGCAAATTTGAATATGTTGGAATTTTTATATTTGAAAAATAATCTACTGGAAAGTTTGAGTGAATATGTTTTTCAACATATGGCTAATTTGAAAACTCTTGTGTTGGACGAGAATCCTTGGCAGTGTAATTGTAAACTGAGGAAATTCCGTAGCTGGTATGTCAACAGCCGGCTGAACAGTGTCAGTTTGCTGTGCAAAGGGCCACCACAACATAAAGATCGCACCTGGGACCAGGTGGAGGAAGAGCAGTTCGGCTGTGGCCCCAAAGTGGAAATATTCAATAATGAAGATGTTCAAAATATCGAAATTGGCAGCAATACCACCTTTAGTTGTTTGGTCTATGGCGATCCACTGCCGGAAATTACCTGGGAGCTAAATGGAAAGATTCTCGATTCCGATAATGTCATGTTCGAGGCAGAAAATGTGGCATCGGATAAGCTGTGGAACAATTTGACAGTATTCAATATGACCAGTTTGGATGCCGGGACCTATGTTTGCACCGGCACCAATGTTGTGGGAGTGGCTTCGCAGAATATCAGCATTTACTTAACGGAAATTGTTCAACATGTTTTGGTTAAGACCCCCGAGACATTTTGGTATTTCGGTTTAATTATGGGAACATTTGGAACTGTTTTCCTATTGATTTTAATCTCCTTTGTTGTGTGCCTCTGCAAGAGGACCACACGCCAGCGGAGACATCCCAGTAAGACAGGCGTTAAGCCCAGTGTCAGTTTCAATGACCAGGAGAAAAAGCTGCTGGACTTGAGTATAACCACCACAACCAATGATCGGGTTGACAGTTGTTTGGACAACAATCACAGTACGGCCACGGCCATGAGTAAAGCGGAGTCGGTAATAGGCTTTGAGCCCATTGAAATCCATTCGGTTGATAATCATCGAAATAATGTACACAATCATCATTCCATTATGATGGGTGGTGGCGGTGGTGTCGGCCATCATCAGATGACACATCAGCAACAGCTACAACAACATCACTCACATATGGCACCCACAAGTGTGTCGGGTGCAACACGTCAGCAGCAGCTTATGGCCGTGGCAGATGGTTCGTGCAGTGTTGTCGGTATACCAACGTCAATGGCATCGGCCGTTTCGGCAGCTCATCACAATCAAATACCCGAAGAATTCCCGTTGAATGTTGGAGTATTTCCACCACCACCAGAATTTTGTTCCAACATTGTACCAAATCCAGCCTATGGCAATATATTTATAAGTGTCTCAGTTACTCAGGATATGTTGGATGGTACAGATATCAATATGTATCCGGATTTATTGAATATACCCAAGAGAATACAAGATAATCCAGGGGCAGCCATAACAATGGGTGGCAGCGGCAGCGGTGGGGGTAACAGCGATACCATGTCCCCACCACCACCACAACAACAATCTTCCGGAGGAGGATCAACAACTGTTACCACCAACAACTCCTCCATGGTGAATGTCACCTCCTTTGCCACCCTGCCTCGTAATACCCAACGAAGGGGTATCCTGAAAAAAGACTCATCACTGCAGTCGCAACAGCACCAACAATTGCCGCAAACCAACCTCTATACCCATGATGAAATTGTATCCTATCACAATTTGGATACAAGCTACAGTCAAGGCTATCAGGAACATCAAACGGAATTAATAGGTCTGCCACCACCACCTCCGCCGCCATCGATTAAATGCCATCACAGTCAGCAACAGCAGCAGCCACAGTCCACGAATGCTACCTCCAAACCTTGTAGTGGTTGTATGTCGGCCGCTCTACAAGCTCCTGGAAGTGCCTGTGCTAGCCCGCCCATAGATGCCACACCCTTGCGACCGCTGTGTAAACCAGCGACAGCAACGGGTTTGGGTTGCCTTAAATACGACAACATGGGCCGGCGCATAACGGCCAGTGGCAATTCCACGCTATCGCTGCCCGACGAAGAACGTCTGGAGAGTGAGACTCTCTTCAATGAGGGTAATCCCTTGACAAAAACTCCCGCCACCAAAGTCATTCTACAGGGTCAACAGAATTCTACACAAAATAAACAACAACAAGACTGCCAACAACAACAGCAAGGAGGATCGGCGGCAACAACCGGAACGGGGAATTCGTTAAGTTCGGGTCAAAACAAAAATTCCACGAGCAAGAGTCACCAAGATACGGGAAATGAATTTGTATCGCTCTAGTATTACGGGACCCAGGTGTAAATAGTGAGTAAATAAATGGTGGTTTTAAGTTAAGGAAAGAAAGCTTATATTAAAAAATTAAATAATAACAGAAAACCTTGTAGAAATTTGTCAAATAGTATGAAATAAAATAAATAATAATTAAATATAAATAGAATAATTAATAAAAAAATAAGAAGAAAATGAAATAATTTAGATTTTATTGTAGGAAAATGGAGAATGAAAATTTAATAAATTTATAATTCCTGTATATATTTCCTTTTTTAAATATATAATTCATAAGAATGGTTGAAATGGATATTGGTGGTGAATATGGGTAATAAAATAATGACCGCGTAAAATGACCGTTCACAAAACTTGCAACATTTTCCAAGTTATTTTACTTGTCACTTGAGAAATTTGGCCGTTTTAGAAATTGGTACTAGTTTGTACTAAATTTTAGAATTTTTGAATTTTGGAAATTCGTACTAAATTTGGTACAATTTGAATTGTGGGTGAACTGATAGAGATGGAATCCTGAAACTTGGATGTGGGGGTTTAGGTTTGGGTTAAGTATGAATTTTGGAAAATTCGTACTACTCTGTACTAAGTTTGGTACAATTTAAATTGTGGGAGAAAATATAGAGTTGGAATCCTGAAATTGGAATCATTGTGGGGGTGTAGGATCGGGGAAGTTTTGTTGGATTGTTGAAAAGGGTACTTATGGAAATAATGTGTGCTAAATTGAACTAAATTTGGTAAAATTTGGATTTTGGTGAACCTTTAGAGTTCGAATCATGAAATTTGGTACTCAAATTTAATTTATTAGGATTTAGGATCACTGTGGAGGTGTAGGACTGGTGTATGTAGGATGTTTTGGAAATTGGTACTACTGTGCACTAAATTTGGTACAATTTGAATTGTGGGTGAAGCGATAGAGTTGGAATCCTGAAACTTGGATGTAGGGGTTTAGGTTTGGGTTAAGTAGGAAGAAAATTCGTACTACTCTGTACTAAATTTGGTACAATTTAAATTGTAGGTGAAAATATAGAGTTGGAATCCTGAAATTTGAAATTGGAATCATTGTGGGGGTGTTTTGTTGGATTATTGAAGAGGGTACTAATGGAAATAATGTGTGCTAAATTGAACTAAATTTGGTAAAATTTGGATTTGGGTGAACCTTCAGAGCTCGAATAATGAAATTTGGTACTCAAATTTAATTAAATGTGTGGATTGTTTAGTTATTGTAACAGATGTAATTTTTTTGTGAAAATAAAACTATATGTTTATACATGTTTAAATATTTCCCGTATTCCCTAACGAAGTTGCGGGAATATGCTAGTATTCAATAATGAAGATAGCGAAAATATAGAAAACACATTCAGTTGTTTGATTCCACTGCCATTTTTTATCAACACCTTTTTAATGAAATGTAAAAATGAATGAACAAATACACATCTTTATATAACCCCAATTAGTAATTTGATGTAATCCGAGGTGCCGATAAACTTTTTATTTCCTATATGCTGTCAAGAGAACACCAAACTACACCCAGGGGACTTTGAACATACTAGTCGAAAATTTTCAAAATACCGAAAATTTGGGATATCTTTACATAGGGCATATGCCTGGCCATAGGCAATTTTTTTTTAATCTGTACTAAGACAAATATCCCACCAAATTAAAATAAAAAATATTTAGGTATAAAATTCGGTTGGAAGAGGTGTCTGAAATCCTCAAAATTCCAAAAATTGGAATTGCGGTTCTATAGAGACTATACAAAAGCGATATCGAGAATTTTTGGTTTGATCGATATTAAGACGTTTGGTAGGCAATCTTTACACTCAATGATAACCCAAAATATCAACAACATATTAGAGGTTTTCCACCCAATGAGAATTTTACCACCTAAAATGGAAGACAGCCCATTAATTCCACGAGAAGGTCGACCAAAATTACTCTGCTTTGAACCAATTTTCTAAGCACATTTATAACGCATCAATATCATCTTCTGCCGAGGAAGATTTTTATTAACGTGATTGAAAAAATTGGACGTCACACAGGTCTGTACAGTTGTTTAAGACTATATATGAAGCTCGCACTTTCATAGTGTACAATGATTCATCTTTTCTTGCTCATGGTATGCCGTTCAGAATGACCAGTTTTTTCGAAATCACAAATTTCTGAATACTTCATTGAAGAATAATTTTCGTTGGATTTCGAACTTCTACGAAGGTTTACAAGGTTTATTGCTTTTTTGTTTGTTGTTCATACGCCTAGATCCAAGAATCGTTTTCAGTGATAATCGTTTTCGAAAGTACACACGGTCGATTGTTGTTTTGTTTTGTGTTTTTGTACGTATAGATCCATAATTTAGCATCTGTGCCGATCCCATGTACATTTTTATCACATTTCTGCAAAATGTATATGCACCAATCGACAAGAGTCTTTTTGTGAACCACTATCAAATTATCAATGATAACAAATTGTTATAAAGGCAAAGTCTCATCGGTTCATTCTATCGAGTATATGATCGACTACGGCTCCCACCGTCGATGGCTGCTTTGTTCCCCTAGCTCCGTCATTAAATTGATATTTTAACCGCATTATATAGCACCGCGACGGCACCAATGAACATGGAATTTTTTGAGCGATTTTCAAACAATACACCCTTTACGACCAAGTATACAAGCAGAATCGAATGTATGCTAGTGGAAGAACTGCCGAAGGATTATAGTGATATAAACTATCACATTTTCAAATAGATGGTCAAATATTAAAAAAAAAAACTTTAGGTCTTTGTGTTCTTCAGAAGGTATGCCAGATGACGATATTCCGGTATCAATTCCCACGTTTCATTAATTTTCTGTGTCATAATTTTTTAACGACTGTCCGATCTCCGTCTTTGAACGATAATTGGCAGTGATTTAATTCATTGACACCGTTCTTCACAGTATTTTTAATATTTAAGCTGTAGAAACTGTAAATTAGTATTTTTTTATCAGTTAATATAATATATATCCATTGGCCAGCTCTAAAATATATGGAGACACTCATTGTGCTCCCGAATTTTTATATTTTTGATTCTTCATGGTGGAACGGTTTGACCGGACACAAATACCTACATTAGTTAATAAAGCCTTCTGAAGAACACAAAGACCTAAAGTTTTTTTTTTAATATTTGACCATATATTTAAAAATGTTCTTTAAAGGGACGAATAATATCTATTTGACCCTTGACAATATTTTGTGATATTCATAAATATGGAATTTGATTTCTACTAGTTTACCACACAGTTTGCAAGATTCGTCACAAAAAAAATCCTATTTTTCGACAGTATAAAATTCTATCAATTTGATAACTCTACTGCTTAGGCAATATAATTTAAAATTCACTACCAATATCCAATTTATTTCAAATAACCAAAAACATGTAAAATTTATTATATAAAATCTAATATGAAAAAATGTGCGTAAATTGAAAGGAAAAAAATTAAAAACTTTGAAAAACATATATCACTCTTGTAAAGGATATACTTTTTTGAATTAGAAAAAGCAAACTGAAAAATAAACTACACAATTTAGCAAAAAACAATAAACAGAAATAAAACTTCAAACAAAATGAATAAAAATCTAACACATAAGAAATCAATATTTTTCCAATAAACAACTAAATGTAAAAAATTGATATAATTTCATTTTTTCCATAGCTAGAAAAAAATACTGTGTATACAAAACATATATAAACCTAATTTTTGTAAATAATTTATGTGTATTTAATTTGTTATATTTTTAGGGTTGTGTAACTTACAACGTGTGTATAGTAGAAAAAAATATAAACGATGTCAAAAAATTCATTAATTTCTAGTACAAATCAAATAAGTGTTCTTGAAACTATTATTATCATTATTATTACCAATATTATTATGCATTGTATAAAATTCAAAAAATATATTTAAATATTAATAATTGGTTAGTTATGTCATTGATAATTTTACAAAATTAATTACAAACAAAATATATATTTTTATTTCATAACAAAACCATACAAATGAGCTTAACATGCAAATTAATTATCAAAAAAGAAATTTCATTAGCAAACATAAAAACAAAAAAAAAAAAAAAAAAAAAAAAAAACATCAACAATATATAATCTTTTGTTTAATGTATAATGACGAAGCCATATAACATTTAAATATTTATTATTACAGCATTTTATCATTTAGTCTATATATGTAGAATCAAAAGAAATAAAAAATGCATCATTTGTAAAGTATAGAAAACAATTTTTGGAATTTTAGCAGGAAAATATAAAAACAAAAAACAAATAAAAATGTAAAACTAATTTACTTCCATTTTATTTTTGTTTTAAATTAATATACATTTATTTTTGCTTTTTTATTGATTTTCTTAGCTGTTTGAAAATTCAGCACACAACTAGAGGACTACTGGAAAAATATGCAATTCTACAAAATTTAATTAACGAGATTTTTTTTTGAGGTGGATTTATAGGCCTATATAAAGAAAGACTAACAATTGTTTTTCTTAAAATTAAATATTTCTTTTAAAACCATTAAGCAGAAGAGTATATTCAAACTATCCGAACAAGTTTACACAGACATCTGAGGCGATTTATGCATGTCCGATCTCGTTTCCTTTAGCGAGTTTCAAACATATATACAAATACGTAATACCCTGCACCACACTGTCGTGAGGCTATAAATGTGGACACATGGTGGCGTATTGCTATTTTAATAACATCAACAAGTGTAAAAGCATTAAGTTCGGCCGGGCCGAACTTGGGATACCCTCCACCATAGATATACTGACAGGTACTTGAAATAAAAATATAGGGAACATACCAAAAAGTGTACCTATACCGACATTTCTACAAACCGATTATGGTTTCAAATATTGGTCCTAGACCCCATCTTTCTTTGGACCAAATTTGTTTCAAAAATTTTTGATTTCATCCCAACTTTGCCCATCGTATTATTTCTTCCAAAATTAGTTCAAGTTCG